TTCATTTAACCCCAGTGGGTCAGGAGGCTTTGGTTCAGGAGACACTGTTAGTTCATATAATCCCAGTGGGTCAGGCGGCTTAGGTTCAGGAGACACTGGCAGTTCATTTAACCCCAGCGGGTCTGGAGGCTTTGGTTCAGGGAAAACTGTCAGTTCATTTAACGCCAGTGGGTCAGGAGGCTTTGGTTCAGGAGGCCCTGGCAGTTCATAAAACCCCAGTGGTTCAGGAGGCTTTGGTTCAGGAGACACAGGCAGTTCATTTAATCTCAGCAGGTCAGGAGGCTTTGGTTCAGGAGGCACTGGCAGTTCATTGAACTCCAATGGGTCTGGAGGCTGTGGTTCAGGAGGCACTGGCAGTTCATATAACCCCAGTGGGTCAGGAGGCTTTGGTTCAGGGGACACTGTCAGTTCATTTAGCTTCAGCCAGTCTGGAGTCTTTGGTTGAGTCCCTGGCAGTTCATAAAACTCCAGTGGGTCAGGAGGTTTTGCTTCAGGGGACACTGGCAGTTCATAGAACTCCAGTGGGTCAGGAGGGTTTGGTTCAGAGGACACTGGCAGTTCATTTAACCCTAGTGGGTCAGGAGGCGTAGGTTCAGGAAACACTGGCAGTTCATTTAACCCCAGTGGGTAAGGAGGCTTTGGTTCAAGAGACACTGGAAATTCTGTTGGCAATGAAGTGCTAGCGATCATCTGGAGAACCTGTAGGTTGGTGGCAGCCATCTTGAGTGTTTTGTGTAATGGTGGCCATGCATTAGTGGGGAGAACAGTAAATCCCGGCATTAGCATGTTTAGCTAATCCCTACCCGCCACCCAAAAAACATTTTTTAGGTGTTTCCTCTTTCACTTTGCCAACAGTGAAGGAAGATGCATTAGAAACAGAAAGTGGAACAGCTGTATGTATAACATAATATATATATAACCCCCGTAGTAGATCTAAACACAGGTGGAGCTGGGGTGGAGGAGGGTCTCCAAAAAAACGCACCACAGCTCAACAGTGTAAAATGAAGCGGAGCATTTAAAATGATGAGGAGAAAGCTCATTGGCTGCCAAGGCGCAACCAATCTCCTGTACCATGTGGGTAATGTTAAATATAAACATATTACTCAAAACTATACTAAATAAATCCAATTAATGTAGAGAAGTAGCTAGAATGTAGAATAATCTAGAATGTAGCTAATTTGACTATTTCAAAATAACTTTTTTTGTTGTTTCACAGAAGCAGGACGACAACAGCACAACAACATAAGAGTGAATAACAGACGACAGAATTTACATTTTCATCTGAACTGCCTCTTTAAACCAAAGGTGTCTGCTGTCATCAAGGGACTGAACAAAACAACAAAAGAAAGCTGGTTGCTATGCTTGTTGCCACCTCAACAGAAAAGGCCGGCGTCATTTGGGGCTCATCTGAATCTGTCAGCTGTGTGTCCCCTGAGGCCTGTGTGTGATTTACAATTATCACTTCAGCAGGTCAGAGCTGCTTAGTTCACCTAGAAAAACACATAGCTGTGCGCTTCTTAGCAAAGACATCGCAAAGACGGCTTAGTAAACTAATTACCCAGATCACCCCGTCCTGAAACTGTACTGGTCAACAACAACATTTTGAGAGCAAAACAAGCTCATTTCTGGGGTTGGAAAGGTTACTTTTAACCTGTGTTTTACTACAGGTTACAAATATGGCAACACTTCAGCTTAGGTCACAATCAGTGGTGGAAAGAGTAATGAAAAATCATCCTCTAGTACCATTACTTGCCCAAAAATGTAGCACGAGTAAAAGTATCTGTTGTAAATATTACTCAAAGTATGAGTAAAAAGTAGCCCTTTTAAAAGTAATCAAAGGTAGTGAGTAGTGAGTATTACACTGTGAAAGATTGATGCATTTAGTTATTGTTTAAGACCATTTGAAGATTTCAGTCATCATACAGTAAACATCTTCCTTTTCTCAACAGTGACAAGCAGTCTAAACATTCTCTGGATCATTGTGCGTAAAGATTTTGGACATCTTTTTGGACACTTTGTCACCCATGTCTTAAGGTTGTTCAGTATAATGTGATTTGACTGGACATGAATGACTGAACAGTTTTTTTTTTTACTCAGCCAATCCCAATAGACAATAAAAAAAGAAAGTAGTGACAGCAGGTTGAAGGAAAATAGTGTAGTGTAGAGTAAAAGTACAGTTACTGCACTAAAAATGTACTCAAGTGTAAGTAAAAGTACACATCTTTCAATTACAATTCCTGAGAAGAACTACTCAGTTACAGTAATTTGAGTATTTGTTACTTTCCACCACTGGTCACAATTCACAATTTAACAAACCATTAACTAACAACACTAGCTTAATAAACTACTAATTAGCTGTTAATAGTTGGTAAGGTAAAAGTTGGGTTTAGGTTTTGGGTAGGATTAGGGATGCAAAATATTTTACCATATAAATACTTTATAACTACCAATAAACTACTTATGACAAATTTTTTACACACTTTATAACTACTATTGAACCGTTAATAAGCCAGTAGTAAATAGCATGATTTGTGACCTAAATTGTTATCCCCAAAAAGAAGATTATTTGATAAATATTTTGTTAGATTACTCAAGTTTAGTAACTTAATCTAAACACTGTGGAATACTAATAAAATAAGTATGGGTTCTCTGAAGAGAACTTACACCAACATTATAAAGAGATCACCCAAATGTAAAAAATTCCCTACCATTTATCCAAGTGGTTCTAAACATTTCTGAATGTTTTTCTTATGTTTATTACAAAACAAGATATTTAGAAAAAATGTTAGCTATACCCAGCAGGCACCTTGATGTAAAAACAACATCAAAAATGTGAATTTGATGTCAATCCCTGGCATCATTATAACTACTACTACGATCTACTATAATATTGGCATCAAAACAACACCTCGAGAATTGATTACTGTGCATGTTTTTAGTTGTGCTGCAAAACTGTGCAGTGGTAAATGCAACCCAGGCTCATTGTGGATACATACCCAGGTTTACATTTCTGAGGAAATCAAAATATGTAAGCGGAGGTACTTCTGCTCACAGTTTTTTTTTTCTTTGTTTTTTTTTTTTTGCAAATCTCCCAGAGGCCTGTAAATGCTGATCACAAATTCCTCTTGCGCATTCTCTTCTCGCATAAATCCACCAGAGGGCACAATATACGCTTCAGCCAGGTAGAGCTGAAGATCTTTGCCTGAACCCGACGGGACCTGACGGGTATGGGTGGGTTGGGGCTTATTTTCTATCATTTTAGACAGGGTTGGGTCCCGCCAGACATGGTTAGCGCAGTAAATGAACAGTCATGTGATGCATTCCGATTAGTGTGAGAAAGTAATCAAATCGTTTGTTTCAACATTAACATCTATCCCTGCAAAGGTAAAACAAATTATGACGGAGAAGTCAAACAGAGTGGAGTTTGACTGTGGTTAGGCCAGCTGCTAGTTCAAAAAGAACGATCATTCTAGCTGCCAAGGTAATTCAGCGGTCACTCATACACAGCATATTATTGTAGAGCACTCAACAGCAATGCACAGCAAGCTAACAGGGAAGACGACAAGGTCACTTGCTACATTAAAACTGCTATCATGGAAAATTAAATGGATGTTCTTGGCTGGTAGAAGATGAAAAAACAATCCTACACAAAACTTGCAAAATTAGCCAGATCAGAACAATGCATCTTGGCCTGTAGCAGCAGCAGTTAAAAGGTGTTCAGTGCTGTTGGAAACAAGACTGCGCTAAAGCCATTTACAGTGGATTCAATACTGTTCCTCCAAAAAACACTTGTGAGTAAAGGGTTTTTAAATGATAAATAAATATTAATTAAACCATAAATGCATAATGTAGACCAGGGGTCACCAATCTCTGTCCTGGAGGGCCGGTGTTCCTGCAGGTTTTTGCTACAACATGCCTCAACACACCTGCCTGGATGTTTCAAGTATACCTAGTAAGAGCTTGATTAGCTTGTTCAGGTGTGTTTGATTAGGGTTGGAGCTAAAATCTCCAGGAACAAGTTTGGTGACCCCTGATGTAGACAGAGTATACAGGCTAATGTTGGCATTAGGGTATTCTTTTAATATTCAGCTTCACCGTCGTCTTAAGGCCAGATTGTGAAGAGAAGTGGTAAAACAAATCCCACAGAGCCTTTATCTTGATTTCGTTATTCCCAAATACCAGTCATAATTTAAAATTTATTTAATTTAATTTTTTAAGTAAGACTTCTTTTCATTGGTGTGTTGGCCAATATAAAGGCTAAGTGTATGTACTGTACCTAGGCCTGTTTAGAGTGCTGAGATGTTACGATGTTAGAGAGGACTTATTTTATTTCTTTGTTCTAACTTTCAAGAGGCCTATAGCCTATGTTTATTATGAATAAATTGTTAAAACACATGAAAATGATCATACTTGAAAAAAGGCAAAAGAGCTGTGTGCATGTGCACATTTGAATAAGTTGAATAATATACGGTTTTCTCTAGAGAAGTAGTTACTCCACCCAGAGCATCATTATGGGTGTTTTACATTATAACTAATGGGTTCAAATGATGGATCTGTGACAGAGAAACTATGGTTTTGGGAAACACTCCTCACTACATTGTTCTTTTCCCAAACGATGCATTGTACTATGATAGTTCAGTCCAGCTTAGCTCTGGCTACATAATTCTCAATTTCCAGAAATGTAGACAGGGGTTCGTATAAACAATGAGACTGTGTTTTGACATCAAGGTAGTTTACATGCATTGTATGAAAACAAATCCAGTGTAAATTTCAATCAAATTAAAATTTTGTTATATTCTAATATTCCTGGTGTTGTTAATTTATATCACTTTGAGGACATATTTGATGTCAATTTTAACATCAAGAATCCCAAGAATAATTATAATTTCACGACAACCCAATTAAAATTTAACTGATGCAGTTACTCCTATTTTGTTCTTCAAAGAGACGCTAAAGTTGCACGTCTACTGTAACTCCCCATCCCTGGATTGTAGCCTGACCTCTGTATGACGGATCCACAGTGCGATGGAGGCACTTTGCTGCACAGGTCCTCCAGGCCAAGTCTCTCTCCTGGGCTGATGTCGTAGGAGCTGCGCGGGGTGTTCATGAGCCAGCTATAGTCCACACCGCTCTTCAGCCTCCGGTACTCATTGTCCCGCTCCCGCTGAAGCCTCTCGGCCTCTTTTATTTGCCAGCTCAGCTCCAGCATCAGTGTGTCGGAGACCACTTCAGACGGCTCACGTCTGCCGCTCCGATAGTATGGCTCGTTCCAGCTGAACCACGACATGCTGCTCTCACTAGCCTGTTTCAGCTTGCTTTTACCTGTGGAGACCTGTACAGAAAAAAAAATCAAAGCATCATTATTTTGTAGAATGAGATTCAGCATATTCATTGCACGCATATTTTGTGTGACTAACAGACATTCAAACATAGACATTTTGGCTAATTAAGGCTACATTACACAAGTCAAAGGAATTGTCTGTAGACCCCCAAGACAGGATTGTCTTGAGACACAAGGCTGGGGAAGGTTACAGAAAAATTTCTGCTGTTCTGAAGTTCCAATCTAAGAGCACAGTGGTCTCCATCATCCGTAAGTGGAAGATGTTTGCAACCACCACAACACTTCCTAGAGCTGGCTGGCTAAGCTAAGTGATCGGGGGAGAAGGGCCTTAGTCTGGAAGGTGACTAATAACTCGTTGGTCACTCTGTCTAAGCTCCAGAATTCTACTGTGGAGAAGGGAGAACTTTACAGAAGGACAACCATCTGTGCAGCAATCCACCAATCAGGCCTTTATGGTAGAGTGACGGAAGCCACTCACCTTCTGGAATTTTCCAAAAGGCATCTGAAGGACTCTCAGACCATAAGGAATAAAATTCTCTAGTCTGAATTCTCACCGCGCATTACCAGGCTAATATCTTCCTTACAGTGAAGCATAATGGTGGCAGCATCATGCTGTGGGGATGCTATTCATTAGCAGGAACTGAAAGACTAGTCAGGATAGAGGGAAAGATTCCTCTAGAGAAGGTTCTCTCAGACTCGTCACCATCCTGAATGTGGCAGGAAAGTGTAGTGTATTGTGCAAACTGTAGGAGCTTGAGAGAGGAGTCTTTAGAGGTGCAGTCATTGGTGTAGAGGTAGAAGAGCAGTGGGGAGGGAACATTTCCCTGGTGGGCAGCAGTGCTGATTGTACAGGTGCTGAATGAAAATTTTCCCAGCTTTACCAGCTACTGCCTGTCTGTCAGGAAGCTGGGGATCAGACAAAGGTGGACATGGAGATCTGAAGCAATTTGGGCAGGAGGAGGATTGGGATGATAGTGTTAAATGCTTTAAAGGCTAAAGTCAAAGACAAAATCCTCACATATTGTAGGTCTTTAGTCTGTATAGGTCAAGGATGGGCTAACTTGATCCTGGAGGGCTGTCCAGCAGAGTTTTGCTCCAACACTAAACAAACACAGCTGAACAATCTAATCAGTGTTTTTAAGATCACTAGAAAGCAACAAGCAGGTGTGTTTAATAAGAGCAAAATTATGCAGCCCGCCCTCCAGGATCAAGTTTACCCGTCCCTGGGCTAGGTGTTGCAGAACATAATGCAGACCCATGTTGACTTTATCATCCACAGATATGTTTGCTCTGAGGGTCCAGAGAATCCAGTAAGGGTCCAGTCATGTCCTTCTGGTAGGTTTTTCAAATAACATTAGAGCCACAGGTCTGTGGTCATTTAGTTCTGTAGTTTTGGCTTTCTTTGGGATGGGGAAGATGGTGGAGCATTTGAAGCATGAAGACACTTTGCACAGGAAAAGTAATCTGTTGAAGAGCACGGTGAAGATGTGGGCCAGTTGGACAGCACACGATTTTAGACAGGCTGGTGTAATAAATACACCAACACCTATAGATGGAGTCAGAATTATTAGCCCTCCTTTGAATTTTGTTTTCTTTTTCAAATATTTCCCAAATGCTGTTTAATAGAGCAAGGACATTTTCACAGTATTCCTGATAATATTTTTCTTCTAGAGAAAGTGTTATTTGTTTAATTTTGGTTTTAAAACCATTTTAAGGTCAAACCTATTGTCCTTTAAACTATATATATATATATATATATATATATATATATATATATATATATATATATATATATATATATATATATTTGATAGTCTACAAAACAATATATACATGACTTATACATGACTTGCCTAATTACCCTAATCAGCCTAGTTGACCTATTTACCCTAGTTAAGCCTTTAAATGTCACTTTAAGCTGTGTAGAAGCATCTTGAAAAACATCTTGTAAAATATTATTTACTGTCATCATGGCAAAGATAAAATAAATCAGTTATTAGAAATTAGTTATTAAAACTATTAGGTTTAGAAATGTGTTGAAAAAAATCTTCTCTCCGTTAAACAGAAATTGGGGGAAACAATAAACCGGGCTAATAATTCAGGGGGTCTGATAATTCTGACTTTAACTGTAATTAACATCTAAAAATTGTCTCTTTGTAATACACAAAGAAAAACAGCACCAACACCACATGGTAATGAGAAAGTTGCATGATGAACCAAAGCTCTTTTCTTTAAGCAGAGAAACATACTAATTAAAACACTATTATGGTAGCACACATGACACTATAGTAATGCATTAAAATAATTATTACCTTTAGATGTAACATAAAACTCTAATGTACTTCACTGATGAGAGTGAAATTAAAAGAATCATAGTAATGTCAAACAAAAGTAAATCAATAAACTGAAGGGAATTCTGGGAAAGGCAATTTACGGTTATTCATCATACAAAGAAACTTACTGTGAACCATCTAACTTTTACTGTAGCATTTATACTGATAACATCATGGCCATGATTTTACAGCATCAGATCTAAGTTAATCTCAAAGGTAAACTATTTTGATCTCAAAAATGTGTTTTCACTAAAAGGTGAGGTGTTTACATCGGTTTAATCCTAAAATCAGAGGGAAATAATGCGTGAATAACAATAATGTAAAAACAGTTTCCCTCAAATTTGATTGGTTGAATAAAACGTGTTTGCAGAATCCACAAATATATTTCAGTTGGTAAAAATCACAACACAAAAAAGATGTACAAGAGATGATGATGTGTTTTATAAGAACTTATGGCTTTTACTTTAGTTTTGAGAATGGTGGTAAAGTGTACTGCGATTGGTTTATTTCTCATTTTCAACATCAGGTCTTTATTTGGTCTGAATGTTCCCAAGCTTAAACCTACCAAGCAGCACATATGCTCTTTAACACCTGACAGACACAGATCACAGCACTGAGCTCTCGGCTCATTTCCACAACAGAACCTGCTCTGGTGTCAATTTTTGAAGGACGCTGATCCAGAGATTAGCCAGACATCTGGTGGTGACCAAACACAAGACATGCTGTCATCTGATAAAAATAGGACACTCTTTGAAACTCCAACTTTCCATATCACTTTAATGCTTTTTTGATAATAAAAATAAGTTAGGAACCATTAGCACATTAGCATCTTGTTTTTAAAAACATTGAACATTTATCAATGTAAAGCTTGACTCTTTCATGTACTAGTATGGACGAAAAATGAAAAACGGTTCTATTCATTTGATTTTTTTTTCTGAGTGCAATGCTAATATAGCTAATGAAGCTATATCGATTCAGTGATTTATAATATGTTAAGCTAAAAGTGCTCCTGCCAGACCAGAGAAATGGCTGAATGGATTCAAAATAGTTAAACTAAACTGTTTAACTCTAAAGGGGACTTCAAAAAAGTGGAATGTTTCTTTAACTTCAAATACTAACAGTTGTTAATATTACCATCTCTCATTGTAAAACTTGAAATGATACAGGGAAAACTTGCTAATAAATGTCAATGTTCCAGCACCAAAAATTGCTGTTGATGAATATGTATTAAACACTGCAATGCAATTTACAGGTGTTATGATGCATATGTAATCTGATGAGCAGAACTGCTCACAATATGATACATAGTAAGGGCCCTGCAACACTGCGGACAAGAGAACATTGACAACAATTGAAAAAAGCAAACACTTCAGTGGACATTCTTAAATGATCCACAACAACTGCATCTCATTTATAACAATCATTTAAAAAAATAACACTTACACCAAACATCTTTCTAAATTTGTAATGAGAAAAATGGTTTAGAAATAGCATGTCAACAAAACAAAAGCACATCTCAAGAAAAGTTTTTTTTTTTTTCAGTTTCCCGCCAAAACATAAGCTAACTGGTTTAACATAAGAAAGCAAATGTGAACAACTCCCAAATTTGAGTTGCTGTTATTTACATTAAAAACATTAAAATAATCTTAGTTTTAAAAATGTTACTGTTATTGCATGCAATATTAATGGTAATTCTTTTTGTTAGTATTAATATTTAAACATTAAACAAACCAATAAAAATACTACTGAACTGTAAATTATTTCACACAATTATTCAAATCATTTCCCAGTGATGGGTTGCAGCTGGAAGGGCATCCTCTGTATTAAACATATGCTGGATAAGTTGTCGGTTCATTCTGCTGTGGTGACCCCTGATACATAAAGGGACTAAGCCAAAAAGAAAATAAATGAATGAATTAATGAATGAATATTTTAATCATTTTAATATAAAAATATATATAATATTGGCAGCACTATGGCACCGGATGCTTCGGTTTTCTACACAGCCCAAAGACATGCACTATAGGTGAATTGTGCAAGCTAAATTGTCTGTAATGTATGTGTTTGAATGGGAGCGTGTGGATGTTAAAACATATGCTGGATAAGTTGATAGTTCATTCCGCTGTGGTGACCCTAGATTAATAAAATGAATAAGCCAAAAAGAATATGAATGAATGAATGAATGAACAACAGATTTTATTCAATTTTAATGACATACAATGTCATAGTTTTGGCGATCTTAAAGGAATAGGGCACACATCCTTTCTTACTTGATATTTGTCCAACTTGACCAGCTTCCACTGAGCGATTCTGTGCCAAAACACAGACGCACAGCTTAAGACATCCAAAAAAGTTTACAAACCCAAATAAAAATGTATGTTTAAAGGATAGCCACTATTTTTCAGTTGCATTAACCCACTACTTACTTTTTAAAAAAAAATACTTATTCATTCATTCTCCAGCTTAGTCCCTTTATTCATCAGGGGTCAACTTATCCAGCATATGGTTTACATAGCAGATGCCCTTTCAGCTGCAACCCAATACTGGGGAAACATCCATACACACTCATTCACACACATACACTACAGCCAATTTAGTTTATTTAATTCAGTGGGGGAAACGGGAGCACCCAGAGGAAACCCACGCACACGAGAAGAACATGCAAACTCCACACAGAAATGCCAACTGACCCAGAAGGGACTCGAACCAGCAATCTTCCTGCTATGAGGCGACAGTGCTAACCACTGAACCAGCATGTCGCCTTCATCCAAACATTGGTCGTATTTTCACAAATAACGAATGTGTAGTATTAAAGATATAGTATTTTCTTGTAATAAATGAACATTCTGTCATCCATTACTCAGAAAAGAAGATATTTCGGGGTTATGCATGTACGTACTCACAGCAGAAAACTAAATTATTAGCCCTACTGTGAAATTTGTGTTATTATTCAAACACTTTTCAAATCTGGTTATATTTTTTCTTCAGTAGGAAGTCTTATTTCTTTTAATATCTTTTCATTTAAAAACCGCTGAGGTCAATACTAGCCCAATTAAGTTTTTTTTTTTTTTTTTTTTTTCGATTGGCTACAGAACCAAACACAGTGTTGTGTCCAATGACTTGTGTAATAAATCTAGTTACGTCTTTTTAGCTAGTTAAATATGACATACTGTCATCATGGTAAAGACCAAAATGTGTCATTAGAAATTAGTTATTAATCTCTTATGTGTAAAATACATTTTAAAAATGTTCTCTCTGAAAAATATTTGAAAAAGATTTAAAGTTTTTGTCTTTAACTGTACAATGGTAATAGTTTTGTATCACACAGAAGAACATAACCAAGCCGGCACCTTGATATCAAAACGCCTTAAAAAATTAAGTAAAAAATACATAAAAAATGCAAATCGATTTAATGTAAATTGACTACCTTGGTAATCAAAATGACATCTAACATTGGCGTCAAAACCATGTCAAAAATAAAATACAGAACAGTGGTTATTGATGTGTTGTTTGTTGCCAATGTTAGATGTCAATTTGATTTCTTTTTGACATCAGGATATTCAATTGTAAATCCTACAGATTCAGAACAAAAAGAGATTGAGTCAAATTTAACAAAATTTTTAATTATGGATGAACCATCCCTTTAAATTCTCATTGAGTAATAAAAACACATCATCCATATAAACTCTGAATCCAAATGAAAGTGTCAATCGTCCAGAATTTTCAAGAATACCAAAGCTTTGACCAAATTCACCATTTTTTAAATACACTCATCACAATGCCTTAAAAAACAATCCACTGCTCAACATTTACCTCTTCTAAACTACCAACAATACACATGATTGATCTCCATAAACATCACTGTAAATGCCAAATTGTAAATCTCTATACTGAATTCTTATGTGTTTTTCCTCCTCTGTCCATCCACCCACCCACCCACTCCTCCCCCGTTCTCTTCTCATCTGCTGTTCGTTCAGCTCTCGGTAGTGCTTACCTTCAAAAGTGCTCCAGTGCTGTAGCTGCTGTTGTGGATGTGCGCTGGCCCAGGTCACATCTCCTCTTTGAGGTTGCTCTGAAGTGCCTATGTGTTTTCCGTTGCTATAGGGATGCTTCTCAAGCCTCTTGTGGCACATGCATGATGAGCTGAAAGCAGACGGGACGGGCGGAGGAAGGGTCATAAACAGATTACCAGTGCGTGTATGTGTGAGTGTGTGTGGGCTAGCAGGTCATGTGACTGATGCCGGTTATCTGGTGAAAGATTAACGTCAAGCCCTCCTTATTCAATATTTTCTTCATTAAAATAAGCATTTACAGGAACCCAGCCTCCTTTTAAATGAGCTCTTGTTAATTATTTAGGAGGTTTCATGGATCTGGAATCAGTCACACATTGAAAGGTGCCATATAGTGCATTGATTCAATATGGTAAATTGTTCACTAATATCTACTTAATTATTTTGCGTTATAGAAAAGTGTTAGTTTTACAAAGAAATAGTTTGATATGATCGTTTAAAAACACAGCAATCAACCCTAGAGTGAAATGCTTGTTTTTGACCATATTTGGCATGGTCATAAATATTCTCTGACTGTTCACAGCTAGTTTCAGTGTCTGCTTTCTTACTCACACACCTATACGAAGTGTAATGTGTATGAACACATCTAAAATAATCAGATTAAAGTTGTCAAAAAATATTAACAATAACTACTGATTTAAATTACTAAGCAGATGCCTTGTAGAAGTGTTGAAGAGGTTTATTTTAGCTAGAAGGACTGAGTGAGATATCTTTAAGACAGCAGAGTAACCAAGTTGGCTCTTTAGTTGTGTTGGGGATGAAATATAATCTAAATTAAGAGTATACTCGACAAAAGGGACTGACAGAGATGTATTTAAAGTTGTATTTCAAGCTATATTGTTTATGAAAACACATGCAAGGATTAATATCAACCATAAACATAAATGACGTTAACGTAAACAGACAACATTTTATAAAGTTTTTTTAGCATCAAGAAAATTCACAGTAGAAGTGTCACGATCACACACAAAAGACGTGGAACCCAAATGCAAGTGAAACAGTCTTTAATGATGGTCACACAAAACAGATAGTAGATGAGTGGCTGGAAGAACAATAGATCCGTGTAGAAGGACAGTCAAGAGACAGCGCTGATTAAATGTTCATGATAAACATCAACAGAGAGGATCAAACATACATCTTCGATGTAAACAGGAAGCATCCAGTAGCTGCGCAAGGATATCAACCAGCCCACTCCCCACCAGCAAAAACCAACGAGGAGAGCCTGACAGGAGCACAGAAGACCGTGAACATACAACGAACTGACAACGTGAAACAGGAACGCTGAACATTTATAGAAGCAGAAATGCGCTGTACCTGGGGCGCTGATTATCAGCTGATTGGTGCTAGGCAACGGTCAGGTGACGGGGATCATGTGACCGCTCAGCTGATGACACGAAACAACAACACTGACAGGCACGCGACTCCCACACAAACACAGAGACAAATGCACACACGCTAGCACTGCAAACACATGATCGCTACATAACATGAACTGTCACACAACGCAGACACATCAAAAGAGAGCAGATAGATTTACAACCGTGACAAGGAGCTGAGTGATATGACAAGATGCATAAACGTGCATTTAACAGTTACATGACAGTCTACGGTGACAGCTCTCATGCACGCTCGTTATAATCAGTATGAATATTCCAATCAAACTAAATACAATCTTACATCAACAACATATGGCAAGCAATGCGTGGATAATAACAAATAATCATAATAGATTACTAACAAACGTTATGGTTACACAAATTGTAAAATGCGCGGGTACTTTAAGGGACGGGGCTGCAGTTTTGTGTGTGTGTGACGTGGAGAGGGAGAGACAGAAAAGAGGAGCGTTTTTTTCGCAAAAAGACTATTTTCATTGATGTTACTTCTTTGGTGACTGATTTTGTCCTACCACACGGAGAGTAATAAATAATTTGGACTAAGTTACATGTGTCCTAGTTCATTTACCAGCTGCAACGAAAAGAGAAGGGAGTTAACCCCGAAACTAATATTATTAAGCCCTGGAGTAATAAGTGAATCTCCCCTGCTATCTCTAACACAACAAAGAGGCAGAGCAGGAAAGGTTTACACTAGTAATATTTTTCCTGAGGCGATTTAAAGTTAAATACACAATGAAACTTAATCAAACATATCTACAATGATGAGGAACATGGTTACTGAGTTATTAAGGCACAGCAATACCACATGAAGAAAGGACGGACTTTAAAGGAATAAACAATGTGAGGAGAGATCCATTATAGTGCACTGGGCAAGTCTAAGCATGTTCCCCCCACGCCTGCGCGAGGCAGGCAAGTCTGTACAATTACGTAATTTATCGGCTTAAAGATATCGGTCTAATTTAGACATTGGATCAATAAAGATAATCTTAAAAATATCTTTTATCGGCCGATAACAATATGACCGCCGATATATAGTGCATCCCTAGTTTACATGAAACATATTTCATCCTTTTGCCATCTTTGATCTACTATATGGGTAATTCATAATTTGTACATTGACATATCATAATATATTAATATCATATATTTATATATTTACTGTATACAACTTTTTAAATTGATTAATATCCTGACATTGTTTGAGAATCTGTTTTCTTAGTTTTCTGTTTCTTAGTTTTACACCACATACGGTACTGACATGCAAATTTTATTTTATTTTTTTTAAGTTGTCCTTGCTTTCAACCTCCTAAGAATTTGTTCTTCTCTCAAATTATCCCCCCCCCCCCCCCTCCCTTCTTCAAAATACTTTTGTATGCATTTTGGAAGTATTCCTAGCTTTAAAAATAAATTGTGCTGTTTTAAATTTAACCAAATCTTTAAACTTAAGTAACTTTAATTTAAAAAGGGATTTGTATGCTCCATCATTCTAATTACTTTTTTCTGCATTACACATATCCTATACATAAGGATAGTAAGTTAGATTCATATGTATTCCCCCAAATTTCAACACAATAACTCATATATGGCAACATAAGTGTGTTATACAATACATACATTGATTTATTATTATTATCCTCAATAATTTCTGTTAATGCCAGAGATATTGATACATTTTGCCTGATAAATTGCCACTCAGCTAAAAGGTTGTGCATTTCTATTAAATTATTAAGCCTTTCAACAAAGTATGTGTTTTGTTCCATTGCCCTGATTTACACTGAGATGTTATGTGATATAAACAAGAACAAGGAAACTTTGGTGTTTGAGACTTACGATATGTCATTTCCATGTACTGAACTGATATTATTCTGCTATGCCTATAGGTATATCCAGATTTTCATTATGGCACTTTTAAACTGCAGTTTTTATAACTGGTGATTCAGCTGAAGGCTCAGATCTAATGCATGCGGGGAGATCTGACCTGTTATAAAAACCTGTTATAGAAATCACAAATCTGCTTATTTCTTAAGCGGCTTATGAAAAATGTGTCAAGCTGTATTTTTTTATTATTTTCACTTGATAGGTTAACTTTTCGGCTGCAAGGTGGCACAATGGTTAGCACAATCACCTCACAGCAAGAAGGTCGCTGGTTCGAGTCTCAGATGGGTCAGTTTGCATTTCTGTGTGGAGTTTGCATGTTCTCCCCGTGTTGGTGTGAGTTTCCTCCGGGTGCTCCAGTTTAACCCACAAGTCCAAAGACATACAGTATAGGTGAATTGGGCAAGCTAAATTGTCCGTAGTGTATGTGTGTGAATAAGTGTGTATTGATGTTTTCCCAGTGATGGGTTGCAGCTGGAAGGGTATCCAATGTGTAAAACATCTGCTGGATAAGTTGGGGATTCATTCCACTGTGGCTACCCCAGTTTAATAAAGGGACTAAGTCAAAAAGAAAATGAATGAATGAATGTTAACTTTTCATAATTTTATAATTTCTGAATAAAAGTAATGGTTGACATCAAAAGAAACAAACAATTAAATAAATGAGGGTCATTTAACAAAATCAGTGTCATTATAAGAATCAAACATTAATTGCTAACAACAAATAAATATACAATTTAAAAACAATATGATGTTTTGGCCTGCTTATCACTTTTTGTTTGTTTGTTTGTTTGTTTGTTTGTTTGTTTGTTTGTTTGCTTGTTTGCTTGCTTGCTTGCTTTTTCAGTACTTTTAATTTGCTAATTATTTAAGAAAGTGCTTGTATAACATTTAAACGGCTTTTATAAAAGCCTACCTGTTTGAGAACGGTCCAAAAAGCCTGAGATTTAATGCAAGAAAATTTTACCTGTATTAAAGAAACAGCACAATTTAGCTTATTTCATCAGTGTCTTGTAAATTTTTACATTTCAATATTCATTACTTCATTCTAGATTAAAAAAAAAAAAACAGGCTAACTAAACAATTAAAAAATAATAATAATAGTAATTACAGTAGTGTAGAAATGTGTCTCATCAGTCCTGTAACTATTCATAAAAATTGTAAATATTATATTTGATAAGGCCTTACAGTGATATTCATTGTAGCTTTGCCTGTATTACCTTTTAAACAAAGACCTTTTTTTTTAATGTTACTTTTAATAATGTCATCATCACCCTCCAAAATCATTGGACATATGAATGACAAATTTCAGATTTTTTTTTTTTATTGAAACTGCTAAAATATTTGAAAACTATTATAGTTCTAATTTAAACTACATTGTAATGCTTGTGTTTGCCATGGGGCAGAAAATTAGTTAGGCTATATTAGGCGTTTTTTTTTTTTTTTTTTTTTTTACATTTTAATGTTAAGAAAATATATATTAAACTTTTTGGTTGTTATTATTAGTATTAGTTGAAAACGTAAAATTTTATGGAATTATACATACAAATATTGTAAATAAATAAATTATTATTATAAAATTAAAAACCTTTCCCGAATGTTTAGTATGGTTGCTTTTATTCCTGATTATTAGTGGTCATCATCAACATACTGCAGGTTGGCATTTGCACTGATTTTTGTTTCCTATTGGCACAGACATGTTGTGAATGACCTAGCAGCTCGGCGGTGGACTGGAGGACAGCAGATGGAAAGGTTTTAGTCTGAACAGATGTCTGAGCTTAGCAGTAAAACCATGACATAC